TTCTTTTAGTAACATTCTGTTTTTCAAGTGTAACACGCTTAAACATGGCAAACTATCAGGATGCAGCTGTAGTGGCCTAGTCCAGAGTATTTTGTAAATGACTCTAATAAGAAGAGAAAAGTGTGCAGCTCAACATTTTTGCAACAATCACAACTTTCCACATCTGTCACAACAAAACCCACAAAGATGCATGTTTTTTTTTTCGATAACTTGTTGACTTTTAGTTACTGTTGAAAATAAAACTCGACTTGTCATGACCCCTGTCTATCAGGGTAGATCATCAGAGTTTTGTATGACTTGACTTCTGATTTGCTCGACTTGCAAGCACTCGACGGGACTAGGTTCTAACCACAGTAAGTTAGGACATGCTCGTGACTCACTACCACCTCTGATTTATGCTACACTGCAGATATGAAATGTAATCATCTTCTTAAAGGTCCAGTGTGTAAGATTTAGGTGAAAGGGAACTATTGGCAGAAATTTAATCTAGAATAATCCTCATGATGATTGCACTAGTTCATTTCATCTAAATTGTATGAATTGTAGTTTTCTTTAGCCCAGAAAAGTTCCTTTATATTTAAATACTTTATATTTACATTGAGGGGGGTCCTCTTTACGGAGGCCGCCATGTTTTTTACATTAGTCCAGACTGGAAGGAAAGGGTGAGGTGAGGGGTATTCAGCTGCAACATGCAATTTTAACACTAGATATTACTCAATTCTACACACTCGACCTTTAAGGTTATCACCCCCACGTCCCTCAATATAATATATTTTCTCCAGCTCTATTACTGTATATCCTTAAAGCCGCAACGGACTGCGTGAATAGCCAGTGCCATATATACATGTTATGTACAGTATTACACAAGTGTGTACGCCAGTTTAATCACAGTTCAAAACTTTAATTCACATTAAATCTGCTCTCATTATGCTTAAAAGTATATACAGAACGGTGCATTACCAGTACAGCAATGTACATATGTAACAATGTCTGTGTTTGGATAGAACAGAAAATGGAGGCATAAATGAAGTGAGTGAGTGTGTTAGCCGCATCCCTGTCACTAATCAAACATGGAGGCGGAGGAAAGAACCTGTGTCAGGTGAGTTTTCATACAGATTCTATGTCCTGTCCTGGTCTGGACCCCATCACCGTCAGAGATTCACCACATAACTGCAATGAAACGCTTCAGTCACTCTCACGCAGTCACAGACATGAGTTCATAGAGTCAAGTCATAGATTTCTCTTTTACTTCTAATATGCAGCTGAATGTAATGGGAACCTATGGGTGTCCAAGATATTGAGTGGATAAGGGTATTAACAATTAAAAAACTCCATTCTTACTTCACTCATGAACATCAAACACAAAGAAACCCTCCTCTAATGCAGAAAGGTGTAGGATTGTCCAGTGAAAATAAATTCTCAAAACAAATCAATCATGCAAAAGAAAAAGCAGCAGAGGGTTTAGGTTAGAAATACCAGCACTCGTTCTGTTAATGAGGTTTAATCAAATCTAATGTTGTCATACAATGAAATAACAGAGTGGTCTAATGAGCAAACTGTACAGAAAACAGCTTTGCAAAAGTAATCATAGGCGAAAAGCTTTGTATGGGGAGCTGGGAACTGAGCTGGCAGCTATTGAGCTCTGGTAACTGAATTTAATTAACTACATGTTTTTTGTTTAGACCAACAGAAACTGTTCAGTTCACGACCCACAGCCCCTTCCTCATAGATAGTTGAATTCATCCAGGCACACAGCGTGTTATCCAGATAAATTCAACATAGCAGCAGGGTCCATTTTTATAATCTCATAAAAGCAAACATCTATTTTTGTGCAACAGCTCCTCACCTTCAAACATATTCTAATTAGTCAGAACAGGATTTTTAAGACCCGTAGTGACAACAACAATTCAGCTTTGAATAATTGAATAATATATCAGCCAATAATGTCTTCAAATATATCGCTTAAAATCAGTTGATACAGTATCAGTCTTCAGTTCTTACGGTGAAATAAAACCTTAGACTGCCAAAGCCTGATGACTGATA